CTCTACCCAGGGGGATAGCTTGAGGCTCTGTCTCAAAAAAAAAAAAAAAAAAAAGGAAAAAGAAGCCCTATTCAATAAATGGTGTTGGGAAAACTGGATATCCATATACAATAGAATGAAACAGGATCCCAACCTCTTGCCACACATAAAAAGTAATTTGAGATGGATTAAAGATTTAAATGTAAGGCATGAAACCATAAGAATTCTAGAAGAAAATATTGGAAGAGCTCTTACAGACGCTGGCCTAGGCAAAGAATTTATGCCTATGACCCCCAAAAGCAAATACAGCAACAACAAATCTAAATGGGACTTAATTAAATTAAAAAGCTCTTTCTGCACATCAAAAGAAATAATCAACAGAGTAAATAAGCAACCTACAGAATGGGAGAAAATATGCACACACTAAATCTAATAAAGGGTTAATATCCAGAATCTACAAAAAAAAAAAAAAATTAGAAAGAATAGAAAAACAATCCCATTGAAAATTGGGCAACAGACAATCACGAAGGAAATGCAAATAAAAACCACAATGAGGGGCAGGGCCTGTCGCTCAGTGAGTAGGGCACCAGCCCTGGCCCCATATACCGAGAATGGCAGGTTCAAACCCAGCCCTGGCCAAACTGCAACAAAAAATAGCCAGGCGTGGTGGCAGGCGCCTATAGTCCCAGCTACTTGGAAGGCTGAGACAGAAGAATCGTCTAAGCCCAAGAGCTGGAGGTTGCTGTGAGCTATTATGCCATAGCACTCTACTGAGGGTGACAAAGTGAGACTCTGTCTCTAAAATAAATAAATAAATAAATAAAACCACAATGAGATACCACCTTAACCCTATAAGAATGGCTTTATTAAAAAGTCAAAAAACAATAGATGCTGGCATGGAGAGAGAAAGGAACATTTTTAGATGCTGGCATGCAGAGAGAAAGGAACATTTTTAGACTGTTGGTGGGACTACAAATTAATACAGCCTCTGTGGAAAACAGTAAGGAAATTCTTCAAAGAAACAAATGTAGACCTACCATTTGATCCAGCAATCCTACTGCTGGGTATATACTCAAAGGAAATGAAGTAATTTTGTAACAGAGACACCTGCCCTTGAATGTTTACCACAACACAATTCACAATTGCAAAGATACGGAACCATGGAGTACTATTCAGCCATAAAAAGGAATGAAATACTATCTTTTGCAGCAACAGAAATGGAACTGGAGACCATTATTCCAAGTGAAGTATCTCAGAAATGGAAAAACAAACACCAATTGTACTGTCTAATAACTGGGAACTGAACAATATGCATGCATGGGCACAAAGAGATACGAAGTCATTCGAATCCAAGAAGGGAGGAGGGTAGAGGTGGGTGAGCGACAAAAACTTACCTAATGGGTAAAATGAGCACTATTGTGGTGAGAAGCAAACTAAAAGCCCTGACGTAAATATTATACAAGTTACACATGTCACTAAACATTGGTACGCCCTTAATATTTTTAAGGAAATAAAACTACAGGAAAGAAATTAACAATTCAAAATAACTGGATTGGCGCCTATAGCTCAACCGGCTAAGGCGCCAGCCACGTACACCTAAGGTGGCGGGTTCAAATCCCCAGCCCGGACCCGCCAAACAACAATGACGG